GGATTTGTTTGTATTTTATTTTTCAGTTTGTTACCATAAATGGCTTCAAGTTAAATTATTTGATCTGGTTATGTAAGAGCCTTGGGTACAGAGACAACCCCAGGCTACAGCTTCCTTATTTGCTTTAACACCACAGTGGTGACATTTCTTTCTGCTGCTGTGCTTCAGTCCTGCTCCACCCAAATGACCAGCCATCTACTGAAAGAGGGGACAGCATGGGGACAATCAAGAATGCTGCCATTCCTTCCAGCTGGTGGCGGAAGTTAGTCAGCTAATTGCAGAAATGTTCCTTTGGAAAACAAAACAAATTGAACTTTTTTGCTTTTGAAACAGGATCTGGTTTGTAGATCAGACTCTCCTCAAACTCACTGTGTAGCCCAGGCTGGCCTTGAAGTCATGGTGATTATCCTGCCTCAGCCTCCTGAGTGTGGGGATTACAGGCGTGCCCCCCCCCCATGTCTGGCTATACATCATGCCTTGAAAAGGCTGGGTAACGATGTGGGTATTGTGATGATTCCTCTGCAGTCCCCAGAAACCCGTGGGTTTCCACCCCAGCCAGAAGGAGGCTCCTGGAGTATTAGGTGATAATTCATTGCTCCCTGAAGACACGATTCTGTAAAAGCTTTTCAAGGGGCCACAAAATCACAAAGAAACACTACCTGGTTAGCTCCATCGTGGGCTCATCTGAACACTGCCCTGGAAGAATGGAACCCAGCTGTGGTGAGCGTCATCTGGGCAGCGCATCCAGCTGTGGACCCCGGCGAACTGAGGCCCACGCTGCTTCTCCTGTGGCTGTGAGCCCAGGCCTCTGCCCCAGGTTCTTCGAGCCACACTGCTGCCCCCACCCTGGGCTTTGCACATGCTAAGCTTGCTCCTGGATCGTTGTAGGCCCGCTGCCTCCATGGCAGGTTCCCTTCCACCTCTGTTGGCTCCTCAGCCACACCACACTGCCACATCTGCGTGTCACCTGGTTCATCCACAAGTAGTGACGGAAAATTGGAATCTGAGGCGCTCAGTAGAGTGAGTGAAATCTCAGTCTGTTCAGGCCGCTGTAACCTGGGCTGTGGGTCTGCAACCTACAGACGTTCATTCTCAGCACTCGAGGCTGAAGGTCTGTGGTAGCAGGTTCAGGCCTGGCATGGCCCACTTCGTGGCCGTGTCACTGCGTGGTACCACAGAGGGTAGAAGAGTGTAGAACTCCCTGAGGTCCTGTTAGAAGGCTGCCTGACCACATCCTGACCATATCCCAAACGGGCCACCTCTTCATAGCCTCGCCTTGCGGTTAGGATTTCAATGCTCACTTGGCGGACACAAAGGTTCCCTGCGACAGTGTCTTACCAAACCCAGAAGCGCCTAGTGCTGAGCAGTCAGCAGTGAATACAAGAGGAAGTGATGCTGGAGAAAATAGGTTTGATTCTTACCCTCAGAGATGCAGAAAGCATAAATGTGCAATGTATTTAATTGGAATTTTGTTCCCTGGGGGCTAGGGGACCATCCCAGTCATCCACTCAGTTTCCATGTGGAAGCCTCACTGTAGCTCACCTCAGTTCACCGTCCCTCTGCAGCCTTGGCCTCTTCCCAGCCTAGCTGCACCCTGTCCGCCTCCATTCCTGGGCCGTCCCTCTCCGGGCTCCCCTCGGCCCTGGGCCTCTGCACTGGCAGCGTCTGCAGGGTCGGGGCCCTTCCATTGCTCAACCCCGTCTTCCATGCCTGTTTGTACTTTGGCTTTCTCCTCCAACACTGCTTCCCGTTTTTGCTGATGAGGTCAGGCGTGAAGGACTATGGCATAGTCCTTAGTTTGTTTGGTAACATTTGTCCCTGTTGCACTTGACATTTCTTTTTTTATGAGTGAACCTCTCACATAGGTCTCACCCTGTAAGACAGAGTTGCATTGCGGTGTAGTTAGACACTCCCTTACTTGGCACCGACAGCAGCCGGACAGTGAGTGGAGCAAAGCCAGGGGCTCGCCTGTCCAGACAGTTAGTTCATTCGAACTTCAGTCGTACAAATGTGCATTATTTGCCCGTGTTCGGGTCAGGCTTTTCGTCTGCATGTGGACTGTTGGCTGGTACTCCCCTGGGTCTTTTCTTACATAGGTTACTCTTCAGGTGTATTCTGTGATTTTCAGTTGAAAAGTTTATTCTTGAAAATGGAACAAGAACTTTGGCCCTTTGAAGCCACATGCATGCAGAATCCTTAATTTTTAGCTCTTTTTCCCTTATCTCTTACATTTGCCTTGCCCACACCTGCTCTGGCAGCAATTTTCCCACTGACTCCTATTTATTATTATTTTTCTGAAGTCCAGAGGCACTGTGCCCCTGAGCTACTTCTCCACCCCTTTTTCTTTTCTTTTTGTAGAATTTTGAGGCAGAGTCTCTAGGTCACTAAGTTGCCCCTTGAACTTGCAGTTCTCCTGCTTTACTCACCCAGAGGGTTAGGGTTATCAGTGTGTGCCTTTATGCTCTGTTTCAGTTTTTATTTTGAAACAGAACCTCGCAAAACTACCCAGGATAGCTGTAAGCTTGAGATCTTCCTGCCTCAGCCTTTAGTTGGATGTCATATTCTCCGTAACATCTGTGGTGCTGTGCTTGGCTGTGCTAGAGAAAGGCGGCTTCTCACCCATGAGTACCAGGAGGGCCAGGGGACCCGCCACCGCCCACATCGCCCACAGGCATCCAGAGTTCTGCTGGGAGCACCTTGGGCTCGCCCCTGACTGGTCCACATGGTCCTGGTGTCACAGGCCTGCATCCTGATTCCACGTTTGGAGCTCACGCAGCTGCCTTGCTGTGTTTCCCAGAAGCCTCATGGGTTCAGCTGGATCCCCATGTGGTTTTCCAGTTGAAGTCATTTCTCTGTATTTCAGGGCAGAGGGGTTCAGATACAAGATGTTCCCTCGCCTTGTTTTCCTTTCCTCGCGTCCGTGGCTGCTCACGTACTCATATGTATGTGTCTTGGAAAACACAGCTCAGCAGAATTTTCTTTGTTTATTTTAAGAGGGACTCAAGTATGAATGTCTGGGACCTCCTGGCCTTACGTTCCCAAGTCCTGGCCTCCTGCAGCCAGGCCAGCTGCTCCAGCGGCTGGTGCACCCCTCCTTCCTCATGGATGCTCTGCCCGCACCATGTGCCCTGTGCCTTACGGTGCCCGGCACGCATGGGCCCATGCCCTGCCCTCTGGCACGCACAGAATCTCAGTGGGAAGAGCTTGTCCTGGGGGAATAGCAGGCGGCTGAAGTCACCCGTGGCCCTCAGGGGCAGAGGCTGGCACTCCCCACTTCTTTGGTCTGTGCACCTTTGTTTGGGGGCTCACACCTCACACACCAATTGCTGCAGCAGGGGTGGCGACAGCAGAATATTCCTTACATAATCAGCCGCCTCGTCTGCTGCCTGACTCCTCTTGGGCCTGGACCTTCCCCATTTCCTTATTGATTAGTATCTCCTGTAGCAGCGTGAGCACCACTAGGGCCTAGTACCAAAGCGGGTGAAAAGCTAGGGCTGTGGAGCCAGGGGGATCTGAATTCAGATTCTGGCTTTGCCATTTTAGCTGTTCTAATCACAGGCAAATTACTCAGAAGTCTGTGCCTGGGTGTCCTTATCCAGTGCAGTGGGATCATGAAGACTTCCCCTGTGTGTTCCCTAAGTGGGAAATGCACCGAGCAGGCCTAGCCTGCAGCCCTCAGGGCTAGGTTTCCTCTGCACTCCAGACACTAGTGTCAGCCTGCCCTGGTCACAGGGTTTGTTGAATGCGGGATTGAAAGTGAAAAACAACTGGCTGTGCATTCACCGAATCATGAAGTCAAGGACTTTCTGTGTTGCCTTCTTTGTGTGATCACTGGGCAGGGCTGGAAAGATTCAGCACAATGCCTCGTGTGTCATAAGCACCTCGGGTCAACAGTGAAGCTGCCAAGTCCTGCACCTTGGAGGTTGCTCTGGGTACTAACTGTATACAGTATGAAAGTCTTGAAGGTCTTGCTGGACCTAGGCATCTTGAAATGCTAGGTGAAGTTCTGATCTTGGGTAGAGGGCCTGCCCCCTGCCAATTATACAGACAAACTTTTTTCTTTCTTTTTTTTCCCCACCTTTCTATCTTTTTTTTTTTTTTTTTTTTTTTTTTTTTTTTTTTGAGACAGGGCTTTGCTATGCAGTTCTGGTTGGCTTCAAACTTGTAGCTGTCCTCCTGCCTCATCTGCCCAAGTGCTGGGGTTACAGGCCTCAACCTTCATACCTGACTTGAACTTTTAAAAATTCATCCTTAAAAAAAACAGCCTTTAATTCCATGGTTCTTTTTGCTGTGATTCTGTCTAGCCGTTTGCTATATCCCAAGTAAATAGCCTTTTTACAATTTTACCGGCCCATTTAAAATCACCATCCTTGCTGGGGTGTCATGGTGCATGCATATAATCCTAGCACTTGGGAGACTGAGGCAAGAGGATGCTGGAAGTGAGGCCAGCCTGGGCTACATAATGAGTTCAAGGTCAGCCTGAACTCCATAGTGAGATCCTCTCTCAAAAAATAAACAAACCAACAAACAAAATCACCACCCTTGAGAAGATCAGTTGTGTTCTCCTTCCCAACCTGCAGCAAGGACTCCTGCATTTCGAACTCTGAGGTCTGAGGTAAAAGGATCTCAAGCTTAAGCCCAGGCAGCTAGCAGCTGAGTAAGATCTTTCTTCAAAACAAAAGAAAGCGGGGCTGGGGGTTTAGCTCTGTGGCATAAGTGCCTGCCTGGCAAGCACGAGGTCTTGTGTTTGATCTCAAGTACAAAAAAGGGGAGGAAAAAGAATAAAAGAAAAAGCTGGTGATATAACTGATGTAACTCTCAGCTCAATCCTCAGTATAAAATATAAACAAAAACACCCCACATCTCATTTAACAGGCACTTTAAAGATATTTAGACAACCTGTGCTGTTAGAATTGGTGCTTGGGAGGGGTGTCAGTGCCTCCAGCTTTATCTTTTCCAACATAAAGTAACAAAAACTATGGCTCCTCCCCCTCTTTCAGATCTGATGTGCTGACATGGCTTCCGGCCTCCACGCTGTTTGTAGGTGTAATCTATGCGGGCTCCAGGGCCTTGTCCAGACTGGTAAGTGTTAAGGGTTGGAGGTCGCCCCTCCCTCTTCTTCCCCTTTGCTTTTTAACTCACTGCTCCTGGGAGTCGCGTATGAAGGGCAAAGCATCAGCTTTATTACTCACTAAACTAGGCTGGACAGCAAGTCTGGGGGCAACAAGGGATATTCCCCCCACTTTTATGTACTTTTATGAGGATAAGGAGGAAACCAGGCAGGGCCATGTGCCAGTTAACATTAGCAGTCACTGGGCTGGGGATTTAGCTCAGCAGCATAAGCGCCTGCCTTGCAAGCAGGCAGTCGTGAGTTCGATCCCTGGTACCGATAAAAAACGAAAAAGACAAAACAAAACAAACCCATTAGCAGTCACCTTGATTGGATTAAAAGACTTCTGGCAAGATGCTGGATAACAGGGCACTACACTCATCACTGACATCTATAGCTGAACATTCTGTTATGGTGTTAGGCCCAGGTGACAAAGCCAGGTCCCTGGGGCACATATCTGGTTGGAGGGTGTAATTCACTGGTGTTTTCTCCTGTGTGCTGTTCCCTGGCTGCCAGTAAGTGAGTACTTTGCTCTGCCACACCAGTCTGCCCTAATGTTCCTGCTGTGGAGCTTGCTGACCACGGACTGAGTCCTCTGAAACCATAAGCCATTTAACCCATTTCCCCCTTTAAGTCGTGGCTATCGGTTGTTTGATCCCAGCAGTGGGAAAGCTGACCAGTCAGGCCAGCTTGTCTCACAGGTGGAGAGCTACACTGATAGAGAAGCAGGAGAAACAGTAGTGGAGTTTCAGAGCCTGCCAGGAACAGGTTCTGCTTGGGCAGCCTCCCCCACCCACTCAGGAGAGCCAGCTCCCCTTCCCCATTGCAGGCAGCCCCAGGATGGTGAGGAGGACTCAGCCTGTCCTTCTGCGGGCTGGTAGCGTGGGCAGTGAGTGCTGGGCTCAGAGCTGACTCTCGGCACCCGGGGCTGCTGTAGATAAGTTGTTCTTCCCTCTTCCCTCTTCTTTATCCCCAGGCTTGAGCCTCTCACATGTAGGGACTAAAGAACAAAGCTGTTTCCAGGTGACATTAGTTAGAATTTTAAACGTTGCTATTTTGCCTTCAAAAGAGAATCCGTTCAAACCACCTCTGCTGGAAGCTGGCCTTCTTCCTTTCTCATACCCTGCCTGTGAACTGGCTCGTATCTCAAGAAAATGTTCCACGTTCTGACTTTTGGAAAAATGCAGAATTTGCAAAATAATTCCATCTGTTTATAGTGTCTGTGTTGGTTAGTCCCTGAGATCCCAGATACAAAAACAGTACAAACAAACAAAACCCACCTAACTGGCTAACAATGTTATTGTTCCAACAACTCCAGGGTTGCAAAATAACGCCAGGAATGTAATTTCGCAACAAAATCACTATTTTCCCCTGTGATTCATAAACTGGAGAGGTGGGAGGGCAAGTACAGAGGGGGAAGCTTGCTGGGTGGGCTGGGAACTGACCTGTGGCGCTGCTGGTGTTGAGTTTGGCACCCAGCTGGCACTGTCACACGGGCTGAGTGTCTGGTGCCCTGGGCCCCTTTGCATTGCTGCTGCCCTTTCACCCTTCGGCCTGCAACGGGCATTTCTTCTCCAAAGCACAGAGTAGCGTATAGGATTCGCCAAAACAATATGTTGCTCAGAGGCTTAGTAGTTTCTTCTAGAGTCAGGTTTTTTTTTTTTTCTTTTTCTTTCAGAGACAAGGTTTCCCTATGCAATTGAGGCTGACCTTGAACTCACTTTGCAGACCAGGCTAGCCTTGAACTTGCTGTGATCCTTCTGCCTCAGCTTCCTGAGTGCTGGGATTATGGGTGTATACACCATGCCCAGCTCCTTTGTATTTTTTCCTGTGATTCTCACAGCCCTCGGACCTGTGATGGGGGCAGATGCCAGTCACTTAGCCCAGGAACAGCTGTGGGTGTCTTGCTAACCAGCCTGTCCTCTGGGGTAATGGCAGCTCTTCAGACTCCCCACTCACACCTTTACAGATTTGTTTCTTTAGGACCAGTGCAAATGGATTTTTTAAATGAACTCAGAGTATCATTGTTGTGTGTAACTTTGTATTCTTTTGACTGCATGTGTTAAAAAGTGGACAAACTGCTCTAAGCAGGTGGGGTTTACTAGTTTGAATAATAAAAAGTTGTAAACAGCTTGATCCAGAGATCTTAGTAGCACACTCAGAATCCACTTTCTTTCTGGGTATGGCGGTGCACACCTGTAATCCTTGCATTCTGGGAGGCTCAGGCAGGAGTATCACAGTCTGACTATCTTAGGGCTGAGGATGTAATCCAGGGCCAAGACTCAGTGTTTAGTCCTGCTCCCCTCTTTGTCTCTTAGTTCTGCCCTCAGTCTTCTACCATTTCACAGTCGGGGCCTCCCCTTTCAGGCACTGTTATCCTGCCTGCAGCCTCGTTCCTTTGGTAAAGGCGGTCTTCTCCTGCGTGATTCACTGGCTCAGTCAGGGCCACTGCCTGTCCCAGACCTGAAAATGCCAGGAGGGTGGGCCGTGTTGATTGGGCAGCCTGGGGACTAGCTCGCCTCCAGGGTGCTCAGAGAAACTCAGAACCCTGATTGTCCAGCTGAGGTCACTCAGCGTCCTGCCTGGACCCCACGAACTGGGAAAAAGCTGTGGTGGATTCTCACCAATGAGGTTCCTTACCAAAATGAGTGACACTGGCTGTAGGTGGCCTAGACCTGGCAAACGTCCATCCCGTGTGTCAGTCCAGATGGGGCTTCTAAAGCACGATGTGATCCCAGGGGTGCTGGCCTTTGACCCCTTCACACCCAGATAGATAGCACTAACCACATTGTTCAGTTAAGCTCTTTTTTTTTTTTTTCCTCTGCAAGGCTGTTGGGAGAAGGAAGCAGACCCTGATTCACATTCTAGTCTGAGTTTCTTATCTGCTCATGAACCAGCAGTTGACCGGCCTTGAGTTGGAGTGCCCAGCCTTCTCCCTGGCAAGGAGGAGCTGGTCAGTTCAGACTCTGAGCAGAGGAAGCTGACCCATGCTGCACAATCCCAATTGGAGAGGCAGAAGGAAGAGGAGGAGGAGGAAGAGGAGGATGAGGAGGAGGAGGAAGAGGAGATACTTACTGCTGTTTTCTAGTTTAAAGGACTTAGCCCAGCATCTCTCTTTTGTTTTTGGAGACCTTTGTTACATAGCTTTGTTACATAGCTGCTCAGGAATTCCCAGGGTGGGTGAACACCAGGCTCTGCTCACTTGCACAGTTTGTGTTGGATAGAAAACAGGCAGCAATAGGCTGCTGCCAAGCTGTTCCTGAGTCCATAAGGAGTTGGGGAGGCTCCCTTACCACCTGTTATGCAGAACATTCCCAGGTAGCTCCCTGTGTAAAGGCCCCCTTGATCTGAGGAGGCCTTGAAGTTCCATCCTCCGTGTGCTGCTCAGGGAGGAATCTGAACGCGAGTGAACTCCGAAAAGACCCTGCAGGAAGAGTTTTTTTCACTTCAAACCCAAAATCCATAGAGAGGGAAAGGAGATGATTCTTGCAGCTATACATTTATCGACTGTTTCTTTGTGATTGTGCTGGGGCTTAAAGGCCAAGAAGCTCAGGCTCCTGCCCTTGAGGATCTATAGGGGACCGAGGCAGTGAAGGACGCAGTGCCCCTGGGGATTGCAGCTGTGAGTAGGAAGGGCTCAGAGTGTGCCAGGTGCTTTCTCTTGCCAGTACTGATGACATGTGAAGTTGGATTCACTGTTCATCCTGCACAGGTTCGTTGGGCCTGCCTGTGACCTATGCTGCACACTCATGGTGTGAGGGTCAGACTTTGGGCAGTACAATTGTTACCAGGGCCCGGGGGCTATGGGATCCCTCTAGAGATAGGTTTCCAGGTTTGGGTTATCCTAAACAAAGAATGGGACAAGCCAGGTGCAGAAGGTAGTACAGTTTATATTTATTAAAGGAAAATCAGTGCATTCCACAGAATGAGAGTGGGTCGCTGAGAAAGAGGAACACTGTGACCATCAATGGCCAATGTCCTTTTATCTCCCAGTTTTCAGGCTGACCTCAGATCTAAGTTTTCATAGCAAAAATTTGCTTGATCTTGTGGCAGAAAAGTGGAAAATTGCATGTTCTGATTCGTCCCGGACTCAGGGCTGGGGAGCTGTTTTATTTTTCTACATGTGTCCTGGATCTCCACAAGGTACAGCCACTTGCCCAGCCAGCTGGCCACACTCTAATCACCCGCCTCACCACTTTGATGGGTCTTTATTACTCGTGATAAATTCCTGACACCAGAGGCTTTCTAAGCTTGGCAGTATTGCCTCAACCTTTTCTGGCAAGTGTCTGGGACAGATGTGCAAATTCCCGCAAGTGGCCTGCTTGTGAACAGCCGTCCGGTGCTGCTGCTCAAACCATGCCATGTTCTTGCTTAGGGAAAGCCAGGGCCAGGGGCTCTGCTGATCCGGATGAAGGCACCTTGACAGGACTAGAATTGCTTTTCCCTCTGGGCTCTTCACTCGGTCCTTCCTAAACTGTTTGCCATGGTTTCTGTCTTCAATACAAGCACAGCATTCACAAAATATTGTGGGTGGATGTGAGACGGAGGGAGGTGTTGGTGAGGATAATTAAACCCGTGTGGAATGAATTCCTCAGTAAGCCACACTGAGCTTGTGGATTTCTCTCTCTTTGGTTCCAATATCACGTAAAGGAACTTGGGACCCCAAAGGAAAAGAACGTAAATGTTGGTGAGCAAGAAGACTCTGCCCCATCCTTCCTGTTACTCCTCCTAGAAGCAGGCAGCTCTCCTCTTTCATGCTGTTTCTTACCAAGAGGACCAAGATGACTTACCAGGATTACTTTTTAAAATATGGGCTGGGTGGCTGTACAGTAAACCCTCTCAAGATTTTAATTATTTTCTTCATTTGAAAATATTTCCCCAGGAGCCTTATTAAAATTGGACCTTAGGGAGAAACCTTCAAGACATTTGATTTGAGAGTGATTTCTTGGGTATGATACCAAAGGCACAGGAA